TGTACTTACTTGTGCATTTCTGTAGGTAAGGTCCTGCTGCCTTCTCTCCCTTGTACCCCTTTCTTTGGCATAGACACTTTAATGATAAATGTTTTATGCCAGGCCCAAGATTTCAAAAGTGGTTCAAATTCCAATGTCAATTTAGATGTGTAAAATACCTCACACAGTGAAAGGTACATAGAAAGTGAACAGTAGATGTTAGTTTCTTTCACTTGTAGTCTTTAGGCTGGCTAATTCTATATTTAACTTCAAATCTTCCTCAGGATTCTCAGAACCATACATTCTTGCTATTAGAATACATTCTTGCTTTTTCTTAAACCATAAACTCCTAAGAGTATTTTCTCTATGACATTTATCATGATTTATTCATAGCTGGTGTTCTATAAATGTTTGTTTAAAATTTAGCATGCGTTTGTTAAGTGCCTATTATGTGCAGTGCATGGAGTTAAACACAGAAAACAAAGTAAAGGAAGTGGAAAGACATATTCTAGCTATATGGTAGGAAAATTTTGCTCACTTTTGAAGAGATGAAGGTATATTTAATAAGATAGATTCGAATTTATAAAAATAAAAAGACATTGGCACCCTGAAATGTGTATAAAATGAATGTGGAAAGGAAAGGAAAAAAGAAAAAATAAGTTACCAAGACATCCAATAAAATCTTACTATGCAAAATAGATGAAGATTTGTTAGAAATATGTATGGTCATAACACGATTCTGCTTGATAGATAGTTGGAGAGGAGAAGCAGTTCACACATGAAGGAGTGGTGATAGAAAACCTGTATGAAGAATACATAGTATTTCTAGCAATTAAAGAAACCTAGCTCAGACATCTCCAAAGTACGTTTATTCAGTAAAAAATTTACTCAGGAAACATGTGGTGCAAAAAAGCATGAGCACAAAAAGCATGTAGGGCAAAAGCAGTAAAAACAAATCAGGTTCTAAACCCAGCTTTTTTACTTCCAGGCCAACATTCTTTTTTTTTTTAAATAATAGACTGTTTTATTTTTAGACTCTAAAGCCTCAACTTTTAGGTTGAGTAGAAGGTATAGAGATTTCCCTTATATATCTGCCCTCGCATACTCACAGCCTCCCATACCATCAAAATCCCATGCCAGATTGAAAATATTAGTTACAATTGATGAACCTATGTTGACCCATCGTTATCACCCAAAGTCCATTAGGATTCACTCTTGGTGCTATACATTCAGTGCATTTTGATAAATGTATAATGACGTGTATCCACCATTATAGCATCATGCAGAGTAGTTTCACTCTCATAAAAATACACTCTGTGCCTACTCATTCCTCCCTCCCCCTAGCCCCTGGCAACCACTAATCTTTTTACTGTCTCCATAGTTGTGCCTTTTCCAGAATATCATATAGTTGGAATCATGTAGCCTTTTCAGATTAGCTTTTTTTCTCTCAGCAATATGCATTTAAGGTTCCTCATATCTTTTCATGGCTTGATAGCTCATTTCTTCTTAGATCTGAATAATATTCTTTTGTCTGGATATCCCACAGTTTATCCATTCACCTGTCGAAGGACATCTTGGTTATTTCGAAGTTTTAGCAAATAAAGCTCTTAAAAACATTGATCAAGCCAGCTTTTTGTTCCTTGCCTGGTGTTTAACTTCTCTGAGACTCAGTTTCCTCATCTGTAAAATTGAACTGATATTTTCTAAAGATTCTGAGGTTTGAAATTCTGTCGTTATCTACATAAAAGTCACGAAATCTTATGTGAATAACTGTGAACAACTCAAGTATGCCTGTATTGCTGGTGACATTAAAGGTTGATAAAGCCTTTCTGGTAGAACACAGTTTGGTCCTATATAACATAAATTATAATCTACCTGCACTTACTCTTTGATCAGATCATTCTGTTTTGGGTGTTAGACTTCACATAACTCCAAATGGAGGTGAGAAAATAAGATTTTTTTAAACAAAGATTTTTATAGCAGGATAGTTTATAAAAGCCAAATAGACACAACCATGGGGACAATTCTAATGCCCAGTAATGGAGAAATACAAAGTAAATTACATCAGGGCAGGGACCATGACTATTCTGACCAATGTGTACCTAGCACTTTACTCACTATGGTGTTCTAAATATTTGTTGTATTAAAAAGACTGAATAAGAGAATTTAAGAAAAATAGAAGAGTTTTTACTGAATACACAGAGATCATAGGGGATGGCATCCTATTCCTCTCTTTGTTGCTTTGCATCTCTCATTGCCACACTCAGCTATGCCAGCTGTTACCTGCTGGAGTCTGTATCTCCCCCTTTACTGATCCCAGTGCAGTGCTTAGACATAGGCACTACACTGATATAGCAGCCATGACAGGTAAACTTCTCACTTGGGAAAGAAAATTAACATGGTTGTAAAGGAACTAATGCAAGAGTGACCGTATGTCCCAGTTTTGTGGAGACAGTCTTGGCTCATGCCTGATGTCTCAGTGCAAATCTCACTAGCATCTCCTTTCATTCTCAAAGGTATCCCAGTTTGGACAGTAGGTCATCATTTAGCTGAGGGTCTGATTTTCTGTTTACTTAAGTACTATACGTGCTATAGTTGGGAAACATTTTCTTTTTATGTCAATTCAGTTTACTTAAACATTTCCTTAACACTCAGTAGATATAAGGAACATCTTAAATCTGCTGTGAAATACAAAGAAAAATAAGACAAGGCCACTGCCACTGAAGAATTTCATATTACGTAATATTTTTTCAAACTCTGTAGCTTACCTTAATGGTAACTCATAGCCTCATGAGAGCTAGAAGTGCTCCTAGACCCAAGCTTCTGCCCTGACCCCATTCGCTTAGAGGACGTCTATCTGGCTCGTCTCTGACTACAAGTCCCCCTCTCCTGTGGGACTCAATGAAATGTTTGCATACAAGAACCTGTGCCCCTACCACACCCAACTCAGGGTATCTGGGATAATGGAATTCCTTGCCGAAACATGTTTGAGCTTGCTTTCAGGGCCCATGTGGACCTCTTCCTTGAACACATGCACACAAGGCCCTTTACAGTGCCAGATAAGCTAGGACTGGGAGAGGGGCAGGCTAGTGTCAACAGCTACACAGTAAGCTCCCTGCAGTCTTAACGTGTTCTGAAATTCAAGAATTCTAATTTTGTACCTGGACTTCCAGGTAATTTCGAATGTGTATTTCTCAAAGTAGAAGAATAGAACAGATTTTATGTAGTAATGTATTAGCTTGATTTACTGCTTTTAGGTGTTTAGAGACATGGTATCCGGGCCTCCATTTTCATTCTTGCCATGGACCCCACAAATATTAGAGGCAGGCTGTTTAGAGTAAAACTTAAAATCCTTAGCATGACCTTAGCGTGAGGTCCTACATAATCTGCTCCTGCCCTCCACCCTGCTCCACTTAGCTGTACCTGCTTCTTCACTGTTCCAAAACACCCCAGGCACACTCCCATCTTCGTTGTACTTGCAGCTCCCTCTTGGAATGGTTTTTCCCTAGGTTGCCACATGGTCTCTTTCCTCGTGTCCTTCAGGTCTGTCCCCCTCTTGACCCCCCAAATCATTATGTTGTCAGTGAGGCCTTGCCTGCATAGTCTTTCTAAGATTTTACCTGTCCCCCAAACATTGTCTCCTTTACTGCCTTATTAACTTCCCTTAAGACACATCAGTATCAGAAAGCCAGAAGTAGTAAAAAACTAAATTAGCTTTTTCTCCTAAATGTCTGTCTTTTAAAACTCCTTAAATACTGAGACCATTTTTCCTTAAAAATTATTTTACTTCTTATATCTTAAAATTATCCATATACCCACTTTGAAGAGTTAAATAGTTCTAAGGCTAGTTACTTAAATCGGCAGCCAGTCCTCCGACCCTGCCATCCGTTTCAGGGATAACTATTTCCAGTTCTATTGGAGGATTTGTTTAGTATTTCCCATTGTGTCTAAATAACATGCTTATGTTGCTACGTTCTAACTTCAATTTTGGGCCTTACTCATTTTCCACTGTACAGGATGAGACGTAAGCCCTCTCTTTCCAGTGTCACACCCTGTGCGTGCACACACCCATGCAACTCTCCCCTTCTCAGTATGATGAAATCGTACTTTTTGGTTTCATCAAGATTTGGTATTTTCAGCTGTAAGCACTGAGCCCCATAGTACACCATGATTACTTTTCCTTCCTTTGCAATGTTTTATTCTCATGCTGCTACTAAAACATACCTGAGACCGGGGAATTTATAAAGGAAAGAGGTTTAATTGATTCACAGTTCCACATGGCCGGGGGTTGGGCGGGGATGCTCACAATCACGGTGGAAGGCAAATGAGGAGAAGAGTCATGTCTTATATGGCAGCAGGCAAGAAGGCGTGTGCAGGAAGAACTGCCCTTTATAAAACCATCAGATCTTGTGAGACTTAATCACTATCATGAAAACAGCATGGGAAAGACCTGCCCCCATGATTCAGTTACCTCCCATGACGTGTGGGAATTATGCAAACTGCAATTCAAGATGAGATTTGGGTGGAGACATATCCAAACTGTATCACTAGGTTATTATCATCAGTTTTACCCAAGACTATATCAGTTATATGTATCTTTTTTCAATATATTCAGTCATCTATATTCTGCAGTTTTCTTTTTCTTGAAAAAAACCTCTCATAGAGTCTCTTAAAATCTGAATGATTGTTCTCAGGTCAGCTAGAGTTTAACTGAAACCATAGAGATATCTCTAAGATTTGTTTACCCTCAAAACAGCATTTGGGCAGTGGTTACAGATTATTAATACTATTGTTGTTGTTGTTTTTAAAATAATATTATTTGACCAAATCATTAAAACAACTGTTCACTGTGGATTTATCAGTGGTTCCCTTTTATGTGTCATAATCAAGATACCTTTTATTAAAAAAATACAGAATGCATTCTTTATTTGTTTTACATGGAACATATTACAGATTACTGAAACAATCTGAATACATTGATGTATATATAGTTTTTTTTTTATCTTATTATGTCTTTATAGGCTCTCAAAATTAGAGAGATGTGTAATTGCCCACCACTGTCTAAACCAGACCCTCGATTAGTATTCAAACTCAGCATGGAGCATTTTCTTGAAGAATCAGAGAAAGAAGACCTAAATATCACAAAGAAACAGAAAATGGATACTCGTCCCGTTCAAAAACAGGAGCAAATACCATTAACATACGTAGTTGAGAAAAGAACTGGCAGTTGAATTAAAATTTATGAGACACAAGATATATGAAGAATGTTGCAGTCCTTATCATTTTATGTTACTTTTTAAAAAATGATGTTTGAAGTTAAAAAAAAAAAAAAAAGGATATTCTGGGTCAAATCATGTATATTACAGATATTATCTAAATTCTTCTAGAATTTATTTTTCATGAAATATTGATATATTTTAATCTATGTTAAAATATCTTGAATGAGGAAAATGTCACAGAATAAATTTATATTACACATTTTACTCTGTCTTCTACTTGCTTTTGATTTAGAAGGCAGACCCCTAGTGGATGAGAAATGAGCACATACAGTAGTTTTTATTGTAGAGAAGGTTTCAACTGAGCCTAAACTGGATTTTTAAGTCTGGGTGGTTTTGATGAAGTAGGAAACAGTCTGAAGCTGTCTTTTTGCAGGAAATAGTTTGCACTGGGGTGGGATTATGTGGAAAAGGGGGCCTCAGGATAGAGAATGTCCTTGTCTTCACCTGTGGATGACTGGAGAAAATGCTACTGGCAGAAGCCATTTTCATAGGGAGGCAAAAGAAGTACAGTTAGCGGTTCAGATGACAAAGCAAGAAACAGAACTGGGAAGAGGGCATTTCCACAGAGACACAGCATGTTCCTGGTGCACTGAAGTCTTAACAAGGTTGTGTCATTTGATTGCTCCATGAGATTACCATTTGGGAATCTCTGGGGTTCCCAGAGAAGAAAAAGAGGCAAAGGCAAGGCACTGTCCCATCAGAAGAGGCTGAGGCAAGGCGCTGTCCCCAAGTTGACCTTCCTGAGCAGTGGATATCAACAAGGGGACTGGAGGAAAACGACGAGAGAAGCAGCACAAGACACACCCCCAGTGGTGCCCAGAAATTGCTGCATTATATAAATGTGGAAATACGAGTTATTTAATATTTATATTCCCAAACTAGTGAAGTCTAGTTATGCTTAGGTTATATTTCTAAGAAGGACATTTTTCTTGAAATACATTATATTAAATAAATATTTTCTTAGAGAATTAAAGAGGAAAGGGTCTACTTTGTATTGTGTGCCTACTATGAACGGGGCCCTGTATTTATCTTTATTCCATCACCCTACTAGTTTTTATTATTCTCACTTTACAATGACAAATAGGCTTGGAGAAGTTACATAATATACCCAATGGCTCTCACCTAGATAGAACAAAGCTGAATCTATCTGACTACAAATCTGTCCATTTTTTCACAACTCTCAGATATCTAAGACTAAGCTATCAAGACAAGGAACAAACTATTCTCAGTTGTTCATTAGCTTCCCCACATATGGCTTCAATGTAAGTAAAAATCTCATAATTAGGAAATCAGGGACCACTTGTGTTTTCTGCAGGTTGATTTTGTAGGTTCTCCTCTCAGACCCTTCTATCAAAATTGACATGAAAAGCTGAAGATGAGGCAGTGTAGGAGAGTAGAACCTCTCCCCCTGCCTGTGAAAGCCTGTGAAATCTCATTTGGGATGTGTCCTGACACTATTAAATCTTCTTAGACAAAATATCCAGATGTTAAGAAGACAAGTTCAGAGGCTGTTTATGTTTCTCAGGGCTTATTATACATTACTTGTAAGGAATTTCCTGATCTGCACATAAGACAACATTGGTCATAAAGAGGTTTACATTAACTATTCTCCATATAATCATTTTTTACACGCCTTGTGATTGGAGTATTGTGAAAGGCACTCGATAACACATAAAGACACTTGGAGAATGTCACCTAAAGGTAAACAGTAAAACACAGCATTAGATTTTCCTGCAGATTTCCTAAGAAAACAATGTAGCAAAGACCTATTCTTCCATCCCATTGTCACTTCTAATAGTGTTGTTCAGACTTGCTAGAAACATATATAAGTTGACACCATGTCAGAAAGAGCAGAGATAATATCTTTATAGTATATGAAAAAGACTTTTTTTAACCAGTGGAATCAAATGTAACAGGAATGTTACAGTTCAGCTCAATGTTTTAGAAGAAATTAAATAGCAGTTGAAATACAAGATGTGTGTATGTGTGTATGTGTATATATATATGTGTGTATATATATATATTTAATTTTATATGGAAATAAGCTCTATGTTCTACACTTAGTTGCAGAACTACTTTCTTTGTATCAATACTTTTCATGTGCCTATAGGATTTAGATGATAGGCTGGTTAACTTAGTTGTTAGGAGCATGATGCTGATAAATCCAAGACACAAACTCAACGTGATCTTCTCTGTAATTCAGATAGTGTGAGACTATCCTCTAAAACTGAAGGACAGCATATATATTTACTGCTATATACTTATAATGCTTTGCACATTATAGGCATTCAACTAACATTTTATTGACACTGTACAATAATCATCTGTTCAAAGGATTGAAAAAAAGGAGAAACAATCATACTCTGTAAAATCTCTGCTTCTGTAGTTGTGGAACCCTGGACAAGTCACATAAACTCTCCAACCTTCATTTCTTAATTGTAAAATGGGGACAAAAAAAGTCCTCCTAGCTTGACCAATGACCAAGTGAAATGATATACTTAAAGCATTTAACACAAAGTTTAGAGCTGCAAATGTAATAAAAATTGTTACCATATACTGAATGCATACTTTGTACTGTTAGTCCATTTTCACACTGCTATAAAGACATACCTGAGACTAGGTGATTTATAAAGAAAAGGGATTTAATTGACTCACAGTTCCACATGGCTGGGGAGGCCTCAGGAATCTCACAATCATGGCGGAAGGGGAAGAGGCATGTCTCACATGGTGGCAGGCAAGAAAGAGCAAGCAAGAGCAGGAAAAACTCCCCCTTAAAACCATCAGGTATGGTGAGAACTCACTGACTATCAGGAGAACCGCATGGAGGAAACTGCCCCCATGATTCAATCACTTACCTTTCTTGACACATGGGGATTACAATTTGAAATGACATTTGGGTGGGGACACAGAGTCAAACCATATCAACTATGCATGGTGCTAAGCATTTTTCAAGCACTGTCGAACCCCACAGTGACCCTATTTATTGTTGGCATTCTATTCTACTATGCCCTGTTATCATGAAACTGAAGTTTAGAGGGGTAAGGGAAGTTGCTCAAGGTTACATGGTGTATTTCTTAAGGTTTTTTACTTGCAAGAACAAAGAAACCAACACAAACCCAACCAAGAAAATTTGTTGCCTCAACCTAACAGAAAAGCCCAGAAGTATGCTGCTTCAGGCACAGTTTAATCCAGGGGCTCATGATAATTGTCAGAGCAAGGGCTCTTTTCTTTGCAATCTTTCTCAGCTGTTCCCTGGTGATATCAAGATGGCTGCCAGCAGCTCCCAGGGTTGCATGCTTTCACATCCAGCTGGATGTGTGACTGACTCACACCCCAACTATTGAAGCAAAGCCTTTAACACTCTAACTGCACCCCTGAAGCAATCGCCTGGCAGGAGATGGCATTATCTTGATTGGCTTGGACTTATCAGGATCCACCATTGGAGCTGAGGATGAGTACGAGTCAACACCACTCAAAGAGAATGGCTACTGCATGGTGGGAGATATGCAACCACAGGGCTTACGAAGTAAGTGCCAGAACTAGAATTAAAACCTAATGTTTATCCTTTCAGTAGGCAAAGAAACAAGATAGATCCCTTGAGAATTTTATCTGAAATGACATTTAATCTGATAAAAAAAAGCTTAAATTTTATATTGATATGATAGCAGATTTTCATTAGCATGTTTGCTTTACTATTTACAAGGTTTTTTTGTTTGTTTTGTCTTGTTTTGTACTGAATTATATCCTCAAAACCAGCCTATGAAATTGAAAGGACAAATGGCATTATTTACTCATAGGGGAGAAAACTAAAGCTTGGAGGAATTAGGCAAGTGATCCAAGTATGCATTCAAGTAAATGGCTGAAATGGGATTGGAACTAAGGAATTCACTGATTTGTAATCCAGTGTTCTTTCTGCAATACTGCATTCTTTGGAAAGGGAGCTGTTACCTCCACTTACCTGGAAACTGAAGCTCAAAAATATTAGTCAATGTGTGTCCAGCACTACTCACCTCTCAATGGCAGAACTGGTTCAAACCCTCTCATCTTCTGACTCCAAAGTCCGTCCTCTTCCTCCAGGTACTGCCACTTCCATGAACAAATCTCATATAGGAAGTGATGATGAACAATGTGCGTTTCCCTCCACCCTTCACTTGTGAACAGCAGGGCCAACACCTCTTTTCCCTTATTTAAAAGCACCCATTTTAATAGTCTATGATAGATGATAAAAATATCCATTTTAAGCATAGGTATACATGTGAAGGATGAAATTCCTGTTAATCACCTCATAACATGGCATGTTTTTTTTAGTTCGATTGTGTGTGTGTGTGTGTGTGTGTGTATTTAATTGACCTAACTCAACCAGGCACAGTGGCTCACGCCTGTTATCCCAACACTTTGGGAGGCCGATCACTTGAGGTCAGGAGTTTGAGACCAGCCTGGCCAACATGGTGAAACCTTGTCTCTATTAAAAATACAAAAATTAGCCAGGTGTGGTTGTGATGGCAGGTGCCTGTAATCCCAGTTACTCGGGAGACTGAGACAGGAGAATCACTTGAGCCCAGGAGAGGCAGAAGTTACAGTGAGCCGAGATCACGCCACTACACTCTAGCCTGAGCGACAGAGCAAGACTCAGTCTCAATACTACTACTACTAATAATAATTAACCTAACTCTATTAATCCATTACGGCTCCTGTCTGGAGATTGTTCCTGATTTCCATCAATTTCTACATTCTAATGTTTAAATCTGGCGAAATAAGGGCAGTCTTTTCCTGGAATCACCAATCCATTTGCCAGATGATGGACTGGGAAAATGGGAATTAGTATTTGTTGAGCCCTACTGAGGCAAGATTCTACAACTTTTCCCTCCTTTTAATCTTCACAGCAACCCTGTGAGGCATGTTTTATTCTCCTAATTTACAGATAAGAGAATGGGGGTTCACAGGACTGTATAACTTTACCGAGGTCACACAGTAGTCCAGGACTTTAGCTAGGTCTGTGAGACTCAAAGGCTTTCACTGTCTTTAATACGCCTCCCTTCACACACAAGAAATGAGAGCAATTGGCAGGGCAATGTGGGAAACATTTATTTGGGATCTTTGCTTTGTTCGCATGCCTAGAGCATTTATCCTGCTCCATGGTCCCTGAAACTTTCCATGATCTCATCTCTCAACACCAGCTCCCTTTGCAATGAGCCAATCAACTA